GAGCAAACACTCTGACCAAGCTCGTAAGGCTTATCGTACTTGCTTAATTGCATCAATCAAGTGCACTAAGTTTTTATTGTGACAATGTCTTGTTTTTCGTGGCCATGATGAAAGTGCCACTTCAAGCAATAGGGGAAATTACTTGGAGCCATTGCAATTCCTTGTAGATAATAATGATAAAGTTAGAGAAGTTGTGATGGAAAATGCTCCGGGGAATCTCAAATTACTAGCTCCTTGCATTCAAAAAGATCTTATGAATGCATGTGCCCTTGAAACACTTGATTCTATCATGGATGGTCTAAAAGATAGATTCTTTTCAATATTGGTGGATGAGGCACGTGATGTGTCGGTGAAAGAGCAAATGGCTATGATGTTGCGTTATGTGGATGACAGAGGGCATGTAATTGAAAGATTTATGGGTATCCAACATGTTACCGACACTACTTCAAGTTCACTAAAGGATGCTATTGACACATTCTTTTCTCGCAACGGTTTGAGCCTTTCCAAGCTATGGGGACAAGGTTATGATGATGCTAGCAATATGAGAGGTGAGTTGAATGACCTTAAAACAAAGATATTGAGAGAACAACCTTGTGCATATTATGTTCATTGCTTTGCTCATCAACTTCAACTAGCTCTTGTTCGGTGTCGGCTTCGTCACGAGGATCGACATCGGCGCCGTCTTTTGGATCGTCGTCGGCGCCATCTTCTGGATAGTCGTCTTCTGGGTCACGACCTTCGCAGTTCTAGCCTTTTAGAGAAGAAGATCGCCAAAGAGGTTTCATTTCATTTTCCTCGACTCTCCGACCCCGACCCCAACCCCAACCCCAACTCCAAATCCTCTCTTCTATCTCGGACCTCAAGGTAAGGCTCTCTCTTTCTCTCTGTGCTACCACTCATATGTTTTAAAGATTTTTGTGATTCTAATATAACAGAGAGATTTTAAAGATTTCAGTTATATTGCTCTTTGAGTTTTGAGTGATAGTTTAGTTTTTGTAAGATTCCCTTACTATTTTAATGAATTCACTGGTGACTATTTAACCCATATATTTTGTTTGTATTGTTTTTTGTTCTTCTATATAAGATCCATATCTCTTGTTTGGGAGTTTGCAGGATCTTGTGGACTTGCTGGAATTGAATGTGATGTCTTGAGCCTCTTGGCTGGGAAGACCCAGATTGTTGTTTCCCATTGTTTTTACAAGACATCTTTCCTTCAGATGATTTTGATACTTTGCTGAATGGTATTTGAAATTGTTGTTTGATGATAGTTAGGCATATACACAGCTGCTGGGCTTATGTGACTTAACTTGTGTGGTTTGCATTTGTGCAGGAGGGTGAAGATTTCAGGATTTCCTTTGTTTATTTCTCTTTTATCTTAGTGTGCATCTTGTATATGAGAGAATTTAGGTGATTTTTAAGTCTAAATCATATATAATGTATGTTTATGTTTTGATTTTTATTTAAATCATATGAATTCCTAAGTGCATTGACAACTAAAATTAATTGATTGGTTTGTGTAGCAATAGTCTAACTTGTGGATTGGATTTGCTTGCAAGTTTGAATATGAATATATATATGCTTATCAGAATAGCTATAGCTTGCAAGTTGGAACCACATTATTAATTATGTGGATATAATTTTATTTTTTCACCACCCTTTCAGTATGTATATCTTTTGCTTTGTTGGGAAATCTGATTATATTTCTATTTTCCTTATTTTAGATACATAGACAGCAGGGGAGTGGCTAGACCAAGATTCCCTAGAGTAATGGTTTATGATTTTCCTGATATGTTTTAATTCATGCTTTTGAATGCACCTTTAATACAATTCATCTCATGGGACTAATATCAAGCACAGTACTTTTGTTAACTAAGTTCCCAAGTTGTTCATGCCAATATGTTTTTTTTTTTACAGGGACTTTGGCTTTTATTATTTAACTGGAGGAATCCCACAATCCATGAGTGGTTTAAATTTAATTCATTTGTAAGGATGATACTGCAGTTGTTCTCAAGTCAAGGTTGAGGCATCTGTTTTATTGTTGGTGGACCTCATATTCATTATTTTTTGACACTTGAATTTCTATGACTGTCCACCCTTGCCATTTCATTTCTTAACTTCATGTTTTGTAATGATTTTCCTCAGGTAATTTCTAAACTACAATACCTTGACCTTTGGGGGAGTAAAATATCTGACCAAGGTACAATTCCTTGACCTTTGTTGTTAAAGTTAGCATCTGGGTTCAATATTTTGTTTTGAATGAGGCTTATGTTTTGTTTGGTTTAATTTGATAATTGCTAGGTTATATATATATGTTTGGTTCTATTTGAGTGGGTTAAATTTGGTTCTAATGCAGAGCAAATCCTCTGTTTTATTACTTTTCAGTTTTATCTCTCCTTTCATTTTATTTTGTGCTTGCTCATTTCAGTTCTAGCCTTAATCACCCAGACTATATCTTCTAAACTTTGTTTTCTTTTCTCACATGGTTATCAAGTTTGGCTTAATCACCCAGGCTGTTTGTTCTGACAGATAAGTTTGCATTAATTTTATGGGGTTATATATATATGTTTGGTTCTATTTGAGTGGGTTAAATTTGGTTCTAATGCAGAGCAAATCCTCTGTTTTATTACTTTTCAGTTTTATCTCTCCTTTCATTTTATTTTGTGCTTGCTCATTTCAGTTCTAGCCTTAATCACCCAGACTATATCTTCTAAACTTTGTTTTCTTTTCTCACATGGTTATCAAGTTTGGCTTAATCACCCAGGCTGTTTGTTCTGACAGATAAGTTTGCATTAATTTTATGGTGTTATCCAATTACAGGTAGTTGCTGGATTAGCAGCAGATGGAAGGCAAATTGTTGGCAGGACCAAGTCTGAAGCTAACTATGAAAGCCTACATGATAGTGTATACATCATTAACTTTCTCTTTGAATCTCTCTCTCAGTAAAGCAGGTAGTAGTGGATTAGTCCTCAAGCTGCTGTCATTCTAAAGCTGCATAGATCTTATTTCGACACCACCAACTTGAAAAATGTGCAAGAAGGCAGAGCTAAGTCAACTCAATAACAAATTGATGAAGTTAAGATCAAATTAGTAGAATTTGTGAGCTCAATTATATCTAATTGTAGGTAGGAAGTATGTATGTAATAGAATAAAGATTGGTTGACTATGTAATAACTATTGAATCTTCAAGTTTTATGAAAGAAATAATTTTTGAGTGTATATGTTCGTTAATAAAGCAATATAATTGGTTTTCTAGTTAAAATCGTTGTATAGAATGATAGGAAACCAAAAACTAATGACCGTTTCTAGTTTGTACATATAATTAATGACCGTTTTTAACACAATACCGCCGTCTTTGTATACAATCGACGATGATTTTTAACAAAAAACCGTTGTCTTTACATAAATTTTTTAACAAAAAACCGTCATCTTTCTATACAATTAAAGACGGTTTTAAATAAAAACCGTCATCTTTACATCTAATAGACGACGGTTCTTAAAAAAAACTGTCGTCTTTACATATAATAGATGACGGTTCTTTCAAAAAGTGTCGTCTTTACAAATAATAGACGACGGTTGTGAGTAAAAGCGTCGTCTTTACAAATAATAGACGACGGGGATTTACCGTCGTGGTTTTATGCATCAAAAGATGTCGGTCGATTTCACGACGGTTGAAAAACCGGATACACGACGGTGGATTACCGTCGTCTATTACGATTTTTGTAATAGTGATTAAGCATAGGATAACGTTTTAAATAACCAAGCATGTATCTAATCTCTGTTGTCAAATGTCCATACATACTCTTTCTATTCATAGTTCAATTCGAATTAAGGCATATGGTGTCTACTCTTAATTCCAACCAAGGTTTTATGCATCAAAAGATGTCGGTCGATTTCACGACGGTTGAAAAACCGGATACACGACGGTGGATTACCGTCGTCTATTACGATTTTTGTAGTAGTGGAGGCATGTGATGTGTCGGTGAAAGAACAAATGGCTATGATGTTGCGTTATGTGGATGACAGAGGGCACGTAATTGAAAGATTTGTGGGTATCCAACATGTTACCGACACTACTTCAAGTTCACTAAAGGATGCTATTGACACATTCTTTTCTCGCAACGGTTTGAGCCTTTCCAAGCTATGGGGACAAGGTTATGATGATGCTAGTAATATGAGAGGTGAGTTGAATGACCTTAAAACAAAGATATTGAGAGAACAACCTTGTGCATATTATGTTCATTGCTTTTCTCATCAACTTCAACTAGCTCTTGTTGCCGTGGCAAAGAAAAATATAGACATTGCCTCCTTTTTTGCAACGGCTAATAGTGTGGTTAATCATGTTGGAGCATCTTGTAAGCGGCGTGATTTACTTAGAGGGCAACTTCAAGAAGAGCTTGTGATAGCTTTTGAAAATGATTATCTTATGTTAAGGCACAAAAAAATCCATGGTTGTGCCCGAATAAATTCCTGGCGCAAAACGATATATTATTGAGAAAAGACTCAATTCGGAGCACACAAAAGTCTGCCATTTACGAGTCACATTCCGCATGCCATGCCAAATAAAATCCGGCATGCTAAAATTATAAAATGAATTTAGCTCTGCAAATCCATACCAATTATCCTATCGAGCGTCATAATTAAAAGCGTGCCAAGTGACATGCCATGCAAAGCGGGAAATTATTATTTCACACCCAATCGCACTACAAGCTTAAGTGGGCCCAAGCCACTCAAATGTCCGGGGCTTGCTTGAGTGAGTTGTGGTATGGATGGTAATAAATTGTCATAAGACCCATTGATGGACCAAGAAATGGAAGTTTCGGGTCGTTTGGGAGCCTCGGAACTCAGGCCCATTTCTTAGGCCCAAAAAATATGGGTAAGCACAAGAGAGAAAATATCCCAACCAAAAAGCCCAACCAAAATGGCCCACTAAAATTAACCAATATAGCCCAAAACTTGAGGAGATCAGCCCACTTGTTTGATAGGTTGACTTGCCATCTTAGAAAGCCCATACAATTAGAAGTAAGAAGCAGCAAAGGCTTCAGCACTTGGCTGAAGAGGAGAGCCATAAAGAAACCAGGGGATTCCAACTCATGGAAGGAACAAGTTCCAAGCGAAAACCTTCAAGGGACCAAGGGATATTGGCGCACAGGGTAGGATGCCATTCTTTGAACCAGCATACATACCCTTTTCTTTTCTTCATCAGATCTGGCCATGGAAAGAGGAGAAAAGAAGAAAAAGGAGATGGATGAAAATAGAGGTTCTCAATTGAAGCAATCGCAGAAAGAGCATTGAGCTCCCAAAAATCTCTGATTTTGTGGGATTGGGCAGAGCTGATTTTTACCACTATAAGGTGAGTCAAGAGAAAGGAGAAGAAAGGAAGAGGAAAGCTTGGCTGGATTGGAAAGAAACCATTAGGGTTTCTTGGAGAAGAGCAGTTCCCAGCAGCTATAAATAAGACCTCTTCTACCCAACAACACACACTTCAGAGAGCAAGCTTCCTCTCTTACTTGCAAACTCAGTAATTTTCGTGCTTTACTTGTCCATCACCCTTATTTCCCTTATTTCCATTTTTTCTGGCAGATTGCTATAGCTTTGGCAAAGTCTCTGTCAAGCTGCCGGAAATTACTAAAGTCACCCATCATTCTCCACCATCCTTCTCCCTCTTCAACAAACCTTCTTAGAATCCCTTTCTCTTTCCCTTAGAATCTCTGTCTCTCATAAGAACTCACAGCTCTCTCTCCTTAAGTGCTAAACTCATGACAATTTTTGCTCCCATGCCACAAGCCTCTTATGCCAAGCTAGAAGATTTATCTGTAATTTGTTGTTATTTTCATTGGTGAAGGTAACCAAGGAGTTTCCTAAGGCTTCACTACCCTTTCGAGACATTCTTAGGGCTTGATCTTCGAACTCAGACACAATGGGACACTTGCATTAGTTTGCTCCTTACAGCTGCCCAACCCATTTGTAGCTGCCAGAAGAAAAAGTCCCCTACATCTTATAACGGGGCGAGGCTTAAATCAAGAAACAAGTCTCAAATGTGCCGATGACACACGATGGAACTCACACTATAGTACCTTGATTAGCATCATATCTATGTTTTCATCCATGGTTCATGTGCTTCAAATGGTTATTGATGATAATCCTAATGATAGTGCGAGTGAAGCAAATAAGTTAATGAGAGAAATACGTACTTTTGAGTTTGTGTTTCACCTTTTCTTGATGAAAATCATATTGAGACTCACAAATGATGTGTCACAAGCATTGCAAAGGAAAGACCAAGAAATTTTGAATGCAATGGCTTTAGTGAAATCATGCAAGGAAAAGCTACATTGGATGAGGAATAATGGGTTCGATGCATTGGTTAATGAAGTATCTTCTTTTTGTAACAAACATCATATTGATGTTCCTAACATGGAAGAGGCATTTATACTTCCAGGGAGGTTAAGGCGTAATGCTCCAATAAAGACAAATCGTCATTATTATCATGTGGAGCTCTTTGTTTATGTCATTGATGAGCAAAGTACAAAGTTAGAAGATCGCTTTAATGAGGTAAATACCGAGTTGCTTATTTTTTTGGCATGTTTGAGTCCGAAAGATTCATTTGTAGCTTTAGATAAACCAAAGTTACTTCGTCTTGCTCTGTTGGCGCTAAATCTGAACAGATAGAGATGAGTGCAACTTACAAGTGATGAGGACGATCTAGCAGATCGATTGAGTGATAGATGCAGATCCTTCTTGTCCTTGGATGCAGATCCTGAATAGAAGAGAGTTTGAGGTTCGTGAGGTCTATGGAACCGGTGTGGAACCAGCCTAAGACCCTCCGATGCTCAAGTAAGATTGTTTATAAGAGCTCTTGCTGTTGACCATATAAAAGTATAGAAGTCAAGCTGAAAAGTCTTACCCCTGTATTGTAGTGGAGGGGCTTATTTATAGAGGGCATTTTGTATGCTCTTAGTACTCATTTTCAATGTGGGACTCGTGGGAGGGCCCTCTGAGGTCGACATGAGTCTTTAGATATTTTGGGCGGATACTTCGAGGTTGATTCTGTACAATCGGTAAGGGATGCCGATTGTAGACGAGCTGGGCCTGTAATGGCTGTTCGCAGCTTTGAGACAATGCCATCGGTGGCCGATGCCGATTGTCCAAGGCCTTGAGTACTTGGGCAAGTTTCTAAAATCCACGTGTCGTTGTACGAGTGGAGGGTCAGATACGGTACAAACAGTAGTCCCCCAAGTTGCCGATTGAGAAGCTTCTCGGTTAGGGACTTGAATATGTATTCGGCATTCTGACCCGGACACAATGGTCTCATAGTTGCCGATGGTGGTATGTAGTCCCCCAAGTGCCCGAGCGAGTGAGCTTGGATAAGAGACGGCATGATGTGCCGATTGTTGCAAGGGGTGAGTGAAAACTCATGGCGTCGTTTCGTATCCCGATGCGTCGCTTCGCTTCCCGATGCTAGATCGGCTTAAATGTGAGGAGGGGACGAGAGTTCAAATACTTGGAATTTTTGAGAGCGAAGAGAGCTTGTGAGAGGCGATTTCCGGCAACCGTGCGAAGGCTGAGCAGGCGATTTCCGGCGAGCGTGAACAAGGCGGAGGTGATTTCCGGCGAACTTGAACCACCGTGCAAATAAGGTATGTTGCCGTGTTTTGGCATTTGTATGAATCAAAGTGTTGAATTCGTTGAATGTTTGTTTGAACAATGTATGAACGAGCATGAACAAGCATGAACAAGCATGAACAAGTATGAACATAAGTGTTTGGGAGGTAGAACGAGATTTTGATTCTAGCATAGCACTTAGTTTCCCTTCGTTTGTGTTTGTAGATGTCAGATACCGAATCCGAGGGTAGGCGTAGTCCGAGGGCCTATGAGGACGAATCGTCCTTGGGGAGTTC